TGGAGAATTTAGGTATCAGTGAAATCCTTAGCTAGTATGTTAATGTTTTCCCAGTGCAGGCCTCAAAGAAATTTGTCCTTTGTCTTTCCTAATTTATGTGTGCACGTGAATAAGACGGAGTCGGGAGACTAATTTTAAAAAGAAAGATTTTTTTTATCACATGACATATATCAGGGAAATAAAGCGTTCAAGCTGAAGAGGTCTATTGACAGCCTCGTAATGCAGCCCTGGTTGACTTGTGCCACGCTCTCAGATAGGAGGGAGTGGAACGCCTGTAAAAAATGCCAAGTAAAAACAAGACGTGCGTGAACTTGGGAAGGAGGCGGTGGCGGGAAAAGCCCATTTTCTCGCGCGTTTTNTAACTAATTCTTAAAGGAAATGTATAGAGATCAGTTTGGAGAATTTGTATGTGGATATTGGGGCTTAAAGGGTTAACCCCTCACTCCTTCTCATCTCCCTTCTTGATGACTCTGGTACTAAGAAAGTAGGATCAATTTAGATTTCAAGGAAACTGCCCACCTTCCCCTCCCCTAAGCTAACAATAACACTTACTTCTCACTTAGGGCAAAATGATGGCTTAGGGGAGTGGTAGGTGGGCAGTTTCCCAGAAACTTAAATTGATTCAGAAAGTACCCCAGGCATAACAATACCAACAGCTACACAAGCTAAAGGTAACTTTTGATGGAGAATTTAGGTATCAGTGAAATCCTTAGCTAGTATGTTAATGTTTTCCCAGTGCAGGCCTCAAAGAAATTTGTCCTTTGTCTTTCCTAATTTATGTGTGCACGTGAATAAGACGGAGTCGGGAGACTAATTTTAAAAAGAAAGATTTTTTTTATCACATGACATATATCAGGGAAATAAAGCGTTCAAGCTGAAGAGGTCTATTGACAGCCTCGTAATGCAGCCCTGGTTGACTTGTGCCACGCTCTCAGATAGGAGGGAGTGGAACGCCTGTAAAAAATGCCAAGTAAAAACAAGACGTGCGTGAACTTGGGAAGGAGGCGGTGGCGGGAAAAGCCCATTTTCTCGCGCGTTTTTTTGCATCAGTTCAGTACGATCACTGCACATTACTTTCTTACGGCTTATTTATATGTACAGTTGTAGACTAGACCCGCCGAAAGTCGAATTCACTTGGCTGCTATCACTAGACAGGAATAGTGTATTTTGTATGAAAACGAGAAGTTTACTAAAACAGACAGTCAACTGCCCATTGATCCCGATTCACGGGCCTGTGAGAACATCGTTTCTTGGTCCCAGACCTCGTGTCTTCCCTCCGACTGACTGGGCCTGCCACAGGCAGCCCAGTAAAAAGTTGTCCCAGGCAGAAGGGTCACCCGCCTGCCAGAGCTACCCTGGGCGAGCCAACTTTTCATTTCCTTACAATCCTAGCGAACCCTTTACACACGAAGCAAAAAGTTGGCTCCGCTAAAAGGGTGGCGCACCTAGCCGGGTTCATCCTTTTGTGATGGTAGGGTCACCCTCCTAGCCAGGTCAACTTCTCTCCATAAAACACTTTGCCGCGCCCAGCCGGGTCAACTCGGTCAAGGCGAGACAATCAGAGCATGCGCGAGCGCTGTCTTAAACAGTCAGAGCATGTGCGGGTGCTGTTGACTCGCGTAAAGGGATAAACCTTTTTCTCATATAAACGCTGGCTAAAGTTGACCCGGCTGAGTGGTTGAGGGGCCTTGGAGCCTGGAACAGGTTAAGGATTAATTGTTGTCTTCATAATACACACAGCTAACTCGGACACAAAGTTTAAAGTTCGAGTGTTTCTGTTGTAAAGTCAGATTTTGTTTCTCGAGGGTGGAAATGAATTGTAGTTCATCGAGTTTATGTTGTAAACCTGTGTTTGGTTTTAAGAGGTAGCTTTTCCTGTCCTTTGTTGTCCACCAGCAAGACTCGGACCTCACAATACTAGATAACATGCAGTTTATTCATTTATTGGCTAAATTATACAATGTACAGAATACTTGCGCATTGCACACGATTGCTTCGTGTACAAAGACGCAAGTGACACAATAGAGAATTCTTTCTCTGATTTGTCAAATATTATGAACAGATGTTGCAGAGAGTTTGTAGTTATTTCTGGTCTTCAAATAAACGGGTTAAAATCCATCCGCAAAAGAGAGGAAATGTTTCAGGCTTAAAGTGCAAGTTGAAATACACGTACTTCAAATTTGATTTTGGGGAAAGTTCTCTTAAATAGCTATAAAACTAGGTTTTAGCAATTGGATTTTGCCACTTCTGACGGTTTTTTTGTTTTTAGAGACCTTTGGATTCTAAGACGAGTACAAGATTTTCTCAATACTAAGTAGTCCTTGCCAGTGAGGGAGCGTCAGTTTGGCAGGAAAACGTGATAGCCGTCGTCATTCTACTACAAGTTTTTAGCGATAATGTCGTAGTGGCGGGCAAGTTATCAAATGTTTGTAAATTTATCATTTTGCGATCGGGAGAGGGCTTAACCTCCTTCAATAAAAATAACAGTGATAGTCACTGAGAGTCTGTTGTTTGAGAGTACGCGAAAAAACTTTCAGTCAAATCTCGTACTCCGAGTAGTCGTTCTCGTCATTGAATTTAAAGGTCTCTTTTATTTCAAGGGAAACTACCCGGCCTCAGCCTCCACCTCAGGCGCTTCGTTTTTCGCAAGGTAGAGGCGAGCGACTGGTAATGAGCCGCAAGGGACCATGGGAAGGGTACAGACAGCAATCTCCTTCCCGCCTTCCTTTGCGCGCGCGAGAGAGACGTCTGGGTACGAGGCAGACCCGCCCTGCGAGTAGAGGCTACACACTGCGAACTTGTAGCATCTCCTCGCAGGGTATAAGAAAACTGGGTTCATTTTCATTGATCGTTTGAAAGGAGCACGTGTGAGCTGCAGAGTTTTTGTCGTTACCTTAAAAACTGCGATCTGCTAAAATGGTTCAATAGGTTGTCTTTAGTGCATCTGGGTCCTTTCTTGTCTTTTTTTCAATGTAATATATTTAATTGGTGCGAGGACGTCAGTGTGCAAATATAAGGACTAAATGAGATACTGATTAAGACCTAATGAAACCTCTGTTACTCTACGTACTCTACGTGGAAGTATAGAGTTAAACTTGTAGCTATCAAAGTTTTTAAGTGAGGTATTTTTTAAAACTGTTTTGGAATGGAAAAAAAGAATTATTAAACATAGTTTATTATTGATTCAGTTAATTTAGTGTTGATGTGTTATGCCGGTGTGAATCGGGTACTTCTGTACCCCGCGAGCAGAGGTTTCTTTCTGGCATGGCTTTTAGCATTTACGAAGTCGTTCGCGTCGCTTGTCAGTCGCTTAGTGACCACACAAAGAAAGGCCAGACCAACTGGTTGCTTACCACTTTACACAGGCAAACCGGTCGGTTTACAGTATGTGCAATGCAAATGGTAACAAAAATTCACAAGTCAAAGGCTTTTCACAAATGGAACACGAATTTCTGTTTGGAACATTCCGTCTGGACAAGATTCTCTCTTGGTCTGGAAGAACAGGACTACCATTTCAGATGTTCTGTTGCTCCCGGAAACTTTCCACTGGAACGACATGAAAAGCCGTATTGCGTTTCTGCCTTTTCAACCGGACTTTTCGTAAACGTTTAGTAAATGGTAAACAACCGCTGTTTCCATTGCGTTGGTACAGTATTAACGAGGGAAGCGCGTAGGAGATGCGCACAGGGGGAGATGAGAGGAAGGAAAAGGGGAGTGTCTTCCTTTTCCTTCTCTTTCTTCATTGTCCTCTTCCCCGAGATGCCGTAAAAGCCTCCCGCGACCTTTCTGTTACTGCTAACAAATGATAAGGGACGACTGTGGACGAATCAACCGTGATGGGATCGATACTCAGTGCAATTTTCGTACCCAGAGACTTTTGGCTTTTTGGTCCGCGGGACAAAATTGGGTGGGGCTATACAAGAAGGCGGTGGTGGTGGTGATGTGGAGATTGGGAAGGGGGTGGTACAAATACCCTGAATTAGAAGAGGTAATACGATCCTGCCGCTGCTCAGTAATGATGAGGATGATGAGGATGATGATGATGATGATGATGATGATAATGATTTTTTCAACAAGGAGCCTAAAGGAGTGACCTCCTTTAATTAACTCACATTCTTTCATGCAGACATTAACCAATCAGAAGTCGAGGACGGTTTCCAGCTGGCTTCTGATTGGATTAAATCTGTGCGAAAGAATGTGAATATAAAATCGAAAGCGTTTACACTTTTGGGCTCCTTACTCCTTACTGTAACAGTATTGAATGACGGAAAATCATAATCACATTGGTGATGAGTGATTATTATGTTGAGTTTATAATAATAGTGTGATAAAAGAAAATAGTATGGCCTCTATATATAATTATTTCTTGGTAAAATAAGCTTACATTTAAGAATTAATCTAAGGTAGAATTATTTTTAAACATTACGTACAATTTTTAATACTTTTCGTGAAATACATCTGTAATTTTGGTCTTGTCCAATTGCTCTGTCATGATATTTTTAGTGTTTTCATCAGCACGTTTCGGTGGACAAGGTGTGGCGAAAGGTACGGAAGTGAATTTCATAAAGGAAGATGTTAGGAAATAATAAGTGCTTTCCGGTGAAACAACTACATACTTTCGCGACTTGTGATACAAATATCGACTTTTCAAGTTTTGTGGCATTGCGCCAATTTTATAACGCATTGATTTAGAATAGCAAAGAATTATCCTGCCTCAATTTGCTGGCGTTGACTTATAAATAGAACTTAGAGATTTAATCCCGAAGCAGAAGAAGTAATCCGTTGATTTTCGGCGATGTCCTTGCCCACACAAAAGAAGCTTGCATCACGAGCAAGTCAAGCGCCATATTTACGTGTTATGTTATGCCGCCTGTCAGCTGCGCGCTTCCTGATTGGCTGAAACACAGGTGACCAGAGAATTGGCTTTTACGTCGGTGTGTACTTCGGAAGTAGTGAGTTTCGTGCTTGATATACCGACTCCGCTTCAGTGTTTCGTTAGAATGGAAGAAAACAAGGCCAAGCAAGATCCGTTTGCTGAGTATATGTGGATGGAGAACATGGACGACTTTGATCGCCAAGTAGAGGAACAGCTTCTTGAAGAAGAGTTCATCCGCACATGTATTGAACAACTACTCGAAGAAGAGGATGAACGCGAAACGCTCACCGCCGCAGAAATAATGGCCCAACAACAGCTCCAGAACCTTCAGGTCAAGAATGCAGGGCAACAGGGGACGTCTCAAGGCTCATTTCGAAATGGTTTTCAAAGTAACACGGCGTACTCGAATGGGTATACGAACGGCTTCGGCAGTTACGACCACAACGTTGTGGTAAGTTCTGGAATAGCATCTGTATTTGAATGCTTCATTGTTGTTTTCATCGTAATCGGGGATGCATGCTTGGGGTTTGTGCATGTTATCGACGGGTAGAAAGAAAAAAATTAACCCTTTCTAACAGAAAAAGTCTCTTTTCTCGGAATATTGAGCTTAAATCAGGAACATCTAGTGTACGTGAAAATGACACGGGTTAACCTTACAGTACGTGCATTTGTTTTTATTTTTCTTCTTCATCATACGGCAGAGTGAAACATGTAAATCTTTTACTTGTACTTAACTACTTTCAGTCTTGTTTTTCTCTTTTCTCACTATACAGCGAGTTTACGTTCATGAGTTTGTTGTCCTTTGCATTTACGTGGTCTGCTGTATTGCGAGTGTTATAGAGAGCCAAATGTTGTCGTCACTCCTTTGTTATCTGCCAAGCACAGTGAATTGCTTTGTTTCCACCTTGCATTTTGAATCGCCAGTTCCTTTAGATCGTTGACAGTCCTGTTTAGTCGGTGTATGCAGTGTTTTCGACCTTTAAGATTGCTCAAATGTTTGCGATGCTATCATATAACTTTAATATAATCTCAATGTTCAAGTTGAGTTACATGTGAAGGTGTTGCAACGCAAATAAAAAACTGTATTTGCCTTTGCGTACATGTAAGTCTTAATAAATTATTATTATGTTAAAGAGAATTAAGGAAGAAAATTTCCGATTTAATTTAATTCTCAGCTGTACATGTATGTCTTGTCAAATGCATCTTTCGGTAGGTTTGTTGTTTTGAGAAAAGATGTTGTTACGAGTAGGCTGTATTTGGACAGGTTCAGATGGTTTTATTTTGCCCTCTCACACCGGTAGTTCCAACAAAGCAACTGCTTATATCTTTGTTTTTCGAAAATCAGAGTCCTCTTTTCAATTTTGGAAAATAATGTAGCAAAAATAACAGATGATCGTGTTTTCCTTTAAGCTGGAATCTAGAATCATTATATCAGCTGTTCAGTCGAAAACGGTGATTTTGTTAGCTTACACATCAACTTTTTTTGCCACTTAAGATCAGCAACTTGGAGTAGCGCACATTGCAACCCTGCAGATTTTTGTTTACGAGTTTATTAACGTGAGCAAAAAAGAGAGAGATTATTGGAAATCAAGAAAATCCAGCTATCTTACAGCAAGGCCACAAAGATTACATCTATGTGAATCTCAGTGGGTTTTGTTTTCTCTAAATAATTCATCTTTTCGGTAAATAGATTGATTTTCTTGAATAGAACAGTTCAATGAAGAGAAGTAATTCCATAAACCGTGTTGCTTTCATGCTGTTAGTTTTTGTAAACACTGTTAATGTTGTGCACCTAATCTTTGTACCTTACAATGTACATGTATATGGAGTTGCAAGTTTCTTATAAGCTTGCTGATATGAAGGGACTGGAGGACTTGTTGCTAGAAAAGAAGTTTTACTCCTTTTCTTGGCACATGTAGCTGCGTAGTATTTTGCTCTTATATCAAACCATTAATGAATGTCTAATGTGCTTGCTGTATTTGCAACTTCCCCCAGGCGTGGCCTTTTTTTCAGGCCTAGCATTGTACTGATCATGTACTTTAGAAGAAAATGTGAGGGAATTTTTGTGGTAATGCCCCTAAATTTACAGTTGTATGTGTTAATTTCACCTATTTGACCAGCTAATGCAGAAATAAATACACTGGAGACTAAAAGATTAAAAAACTGAACAAACAATTGTCATGAAAGATATTGTTCATCTTGGATAATGTGTATAAAGGGTTTAGTTTATTGTTTGTCGCGGTTAGGTTTATTGACTGAGACCCTCACTGATACTCTCTTAGAGTTAAATAGGCTACTGTATTTATTGGATTAATTGCCCTGGGCGCTTATAGTTTTTTTGGACCTTGAGACAGTGGGTGCTTATTTGAGGTGGACGCTTATTTGAGGCTGGGTGCTTATTAAATTTTCACCATTTTCAGCAAGTGTAGTATGTTTATTTTGCATCAAAACAGTAAATGCTAATCACAAAATGTGAAGATGTAACAATGCAAGGTTTCTGTCAAATACTTTGAAGAAAACGGATCCGTCTTCGGGGAAGTCTTTTATTAGCACTTATTATTCAATTTTTTTGTGTGTCGGAGGGGGAAGCGGTTAGGGTGGGGGTACGGGTGGGTGCTTATTGAGTTTGAGTGGGAAGGGGAGGGCTGTGTGGTGGGGGTGGACGCTTATTCCAGGCTGGGCGCTTATTAACTTTTTCTGCCTTTAGGATGGGTGCTTATTCGAGGTGGGCGCTAATTTGAGGTTGGGTGCTTATTTGAATAAATACAGTATTCACACAAGACTTCACCCTATCAGCAGGGACCGTGGAATTGAGATTACTGAAGTGTGGGTGCCTACGATCAGTCAAAATAGCAGGCAATTGCTACCACAATGGACTGCTGAGGGAACAGTTCCCTCCTCTTATAATGCCAACAATGTCTTGGATTGAAACCCACCAACCATGAGCGAGGTTCGTGATACATCAATCACTAACAATCATGGTGGTATAAATAAATAATGAAGAGGCAAAAACATAACTGTTGTACATGTATGTCGAGTATTATGTCGATTTTTCTATTCTAGCCAAAATTGCTTGAATTTTTGTATACGACCTTTTGTTGAGTAGAAAAACATTTCCCTGTATTTTTTTTGGCCATTTTACCCTAATTTTTGTAGAAATAAGGTATGCAAACCACGTGTTGGCTTTCTTCTACTCTCAGTCAGTAAATCGATACTATCATCTGATGAAGACCAACAGTCAGGGTTGAAACATCGCGATCAATATCTTTGTGACAATCGTGTGTCAAATGATAAACAAAACCCTCTATAAAATAATTGTCCTCGCAATGATGCCACCGAGAAGGCATCCTTGTAGCTTGCACATATTTGAAGAAGTACTTACGGTTAAAATATGACCGTCAAACCTTTCATAAGTAACCACCAAAGATGCAAAGTTACTGGTCACTTATGGTAGTTGTTAGCTTATGAGAATGGAACCCCAAGGGGTCTCTTCCCTGAAGAGGACCAAACACATCTAAATTTTGTAAGAGTAGTAATTCACTGCATGCAGTTTCCAAGTTACAATATTTAAAGTTTCAAATTGTCACTAAAAGTACATGTACATTGTATTTGCTTAGTAGTGTGGTACATACAATGAGTGTAGAGATCAAACTATAACTTAGATGGTCGCTTACAGGAGGATAAAAACAGTGGAAAAATCTAAGGTGGTCATCCAAAAAGGTGGTCGCACTGACTAATGAGAAGTGTTTTTCTACAAGAGGACTTTTTATTTCACAAGAGGTTGCAACTGTAGTGATTTTCATTGGGAAGATGTTGGTGTTTTGGATAGGCTTTTGCTTGTGGAAGGTGGTTGCTTACGAAGTAGGTAATGACAACTCAAAAGAGCTTGCGAAGAAAGTCAAAGCTGATAGCCTGGAGCTAGTGGAAGTCCTTTACCATTGGGCTAGTTAGTTCTGTTCTTAACTTGTTTGATGGGAAAGTGAAGTTGTTTGGGGGAATTCCCTATTAGAATATTACATTTAGAGAAAATGTAATATTCTAAGACACTCATGTGGATTGAAAGCTGTTTTCATGCTTATTTGATGAAGTGGAATTCTAACATAATTTAATTTTTATATTTTTATAACAATGAATTAATAAAGCAAGTAATGAATGAACCTTATGGTAAAATTAATTAATGGATAATAAAAATTGATGCTGTTAACTGTGCTGGGCAGGGGATTATCTTGATTGTTGTTTAAGTTTGCACAGAGATCGGTCTGGAGAATTTGTATGTGGATACTTTGGGGCGTGAAGGGTTAAAGTGAACTGGTACAGGGTGACAATGTAAAATGTGCATGAAAAATTAAAAAAAAGATTACCACTTCTAATCAAATCTTCTGCTATAGGTTTAAAAATCTTTTTCATACACTGAAAGTGTTTTAATCAAAGCTGCTTTAATCGACCTACATGTACATGTAAATCAGTGCGTGGAATCTTCCATTCCCGTCATCTATCTTACCTACTGTATAGAATACAATGTAGGTGTGAAAATCTTCAGTATGAATAGGTGCATGTATTTTATATTTTAAAGATCCAACTAAGCACATGCCAAGGATGCTTGATCACAGCTTCAACACTTATTCTTTATCTAAACACTGGCAAAAACTTTGATACCACACAGCAGTTTCATTAATGATTGTTCAGTCCAACATTTAGTAATAATATTTTAAAAATATAATTTATAAACACTTGAGCTCTTCACATAGGGCGCAGCTGCAGTTGGGGTACATAGAACAGTTATTTTCTGGCGAGTCCACAAGTGTTGTTGTTACCCTATATGTAGGTGAATACACTATTTTTTTATACAAGAATGTTGTTTTTTCATGCCAGGCTGAATGTTCTCATTTTTCTGCCAATTTTAGCCTGAAATTGTTGAATCATAATTGAAAAAGAAAGATTTTATCATGGACTTTTTGCGGTTTGTTCATTTTTTTTTAGCTGTGTACTATAAGATATGTTTCTCACGTACCGTTCATCGAACTGTCATTAGCACTGAACATTTGGCTATAACTAATGCAGGTTTCTTTGTTTTGTTGGGTAGTTTTGCCGTGAGAGGAAGCAATAATTTGATACGGTCAAGTTAAAAACATATTTTTCATATTTCTCAATATTCATCATTTTTGAAACCTCAGCCTCGGCTTTATTCTTAACATATTCTTAACATTTTGCAAATTTCAGCCTTGATTTTCTTACAAAATGGATTCTTAAAGAAAAAAAGAGTGTACTTCAAAGTTGAAAAATCCTTTGGCAAATAAGAACACCCTTTTGTAGATACATGTGATCTTGCATTTGAAATGGTGGCATTTATAAAGGAGGTGACAAAGTGGACATTACATCTAACAGTGGGTACCAGTAGAATATGGGAAATCAAATAGAGTCTAGAATTAATGATGAGATCTCTCTGTACTTAAAGAAGTTTTTTATAATCTTTCTAAATGAGTTATAAGATGAAATGAAAACAAATTACAGTACTATGTATTTTGATATGTTACATGTAGACATCTGTGT